ATCATAACGACATTACGACTTCTATCATGTAGTAGAAAAACGTGCACATAAGCATGGGTATAAATGGACAGAAGACTCCACAATTGAGATATGGAGTAGATGCCTTCTCGTGGTTACTACACCATGAATATGGCACATGAAGTATCTTGGCTCCCAAACACTAAGAATGTACATCAAATGTCACTGTATCTTTATAGTACTGTACTAGCTAAGGTAATATAGGACCTAGTAAGTTTTTCCCCCCTTGCATACATTAGAATCTAGCTAGCAAAATGCCTTAAATAGACTCCCTTCCATTATATAACACACCAAAGCGGTAGGCGAGCTTCTGCTGAGTGACTCGCAGTCACTAAAAATAAGCTGGCCGGTAAACCGTTTACTCAGTTGGTTACTCACATCCGGGAGCACATACTCCAAATGATTGAAAGGTACCTCTCTTATTCCTGTCTTATTATCCAAAGTGAAAAGGTGAAAACAAAAGCTGGTCTTGACCTCATCCTCATGATAGATACTCCCAGCAGTAGCCGTATGCAATCTGTCAAAGAAGGAAGCAGCCAGCCAATGGGAGAGGTTATTATTATCATACTCCACGACCACATCTGTCTGCTGTTCTGTTCACGGCGGTTGCTGCTGCCCCCACTGCTAAAGTACAACGCTTTTTCCATCTCGTCATCAAATCTCACACGGTCACATGACCTTGGGACTTGGGGAGCTTGTAGTAGGCCTGTACCGACTTGGAACATTCCCTGGACGCCAGAGGCCAGGGCCATGCCGTGCCGAAGCATCTGCACCTGTGTCAGTTACTAACAGTTACCAGCAGTAGTGGCGGCAGCCGGCCGGAAGCAGTACTAGATAGGGCACTGCTACGAGACAGGCAGGGGGGGTTTCTGTTGCATCCCCGCAACTGCCGAGCTTAAAGACTGGGAATCTTTGGGCTTGTTTGCTTTGAAGACCGGGAATCTTGTCTGGCCCCAGGCACCTCACCCAGGCGCCGTTGATTTCCGGCGCCTGGAGCTGGATCGACCTGCCTGGGCGGGTGCCCCCAGGCCGGGTCTTCATCCAAACACGCCCTAATTGCATGCACTGTCCGTGTCCGGCTCCGGCGCCCAGACAAAAGCGGCGGCACGCCACGCACCCGGGACAAACCCGTGCGCACGCACGCGCTGCGCTGCAGTGCTGCAGCACACCGGCTGGCCGCCGTCTGGCAGATCGGCGTCTGCATGCAGCAGTGCACAGCAGTCAGCGGCCACCAGTCACCAGGCAGTGGCGCGTTCCATTTCCCAACGGCCGACCGCGACGCCTAGCCGCCGAGCCGTGCGCGTCCGCGTCACACGCCACTGGATCGATCTCCACGTACTCGCTCCAAGATTCCTGGGCAAAGCGACACCTCTGCCGCTACGCTACGCGTGCCTTTCCCATCCCGTGGCCGTGGGGAAAAAAACATGGGCGACCTCACCTCACCCCGCAGCCACACATCTGCATGCGTGCGTGTAGTCAAGTGCATGTACTAGATGCCGGCCGGCCCTTTTCTTTCTGCCTGCCTTTTTCCGTTGCTCGTGCGAGAGCATTAAAAATGCTGACCCGAGAGTGAAGGAGATCTGCAAAGTGGACGGGGATTGATAATCTTGTCACGTCATGTGTCATGGCGCCAGCCATTTCCCCAGCCCTTTTTGTTGCACTTTGCGCAAGTGACGAGAGGATCTAGGAGAATAATATCCGCTTATCCATCTATTCCCGGCCTCTGATTGGGGAAGGCAAGGGCAGCCAGCCAGCCAGCACACCCTTTCCTTTCATAGTTCACAAGTTGCCTTGCCTCCAAAATCCAAAATAAAAAAAAAACCGCGTCTGAGGTTGACTTGCCGATCGAGCTGCCTTTTTCATCAGAAACTGAAAAGCTTGCTGATTTGGACACCAGACCAGAGACAGAGATCCTGGCCTCCTGGCAACTGGCATTTTAGTCCTTGTAGCACCACTGCACCAGTCAGTACGCAAGCAAAGGAACACGGGACCTTTCCAGTTTTAAAGCCCCCACCTGGGCGTCATAATTAACAAAGGGATTCTCGTAGCTGCAGCAGCCAACAGCAGCACCCCGTGCGTGCGTGCACGAGACCACAGACCAGCCGGACTTTGATTGCTCTTGACGACGACGACGATGACGTGGCCACCAGTTGCTGGGGATCCGGGAACCCTGACGACCCTGCCTGCCTGACCCTGACGGCGACACGGCGACGCAGGCAGGTGGTGCCTGCTGGCTGCTGCCCCCGTGTGTCATCGGCAGGCAGAGGCAGATGAGATCGGCACGCATGACCGCAGAGTCCCACAGCAGACAGCACCTGCAGGTTGTTTTCGAAGAAAACAACATTGACGCAGTTGTTGTTTTCGAAGAAAACAAATTACGATCATTTTGGCTTCTGGTTAAAACTATTTGCCAAATAAAAGCGAACGCGCTTCTGATGGCCCAAAATCCAAATTCATAGAACTAAACACAGCCTGAAAAAGGGCCACAAGTGGAGGCCGAGGCGGACAGGCAGCAGGAACATTCCGGTATTGATTACTGCAGGGTACGGCCGCGATTGACCTGCTCTGCTCGTGATGGGGCTCTCCCTGCCTCTACCTGCATCTGCATGCCGCTGGTCGCCGCGTCGCTTGGCCGGCATCATTCCATTCCATATTCCCCCTCGGACAGAGAGCGATAGATGCGTCATGCGTGTGCGTGTGGTCGCAACGGTGGTCTTGGTCATACTCATGTCATGACATGTGAGCCCGGGAAAAACTATGCCTTGTGGTGGTACTCCTATTTGTTTATAGCAGCAGCCAGTAGGCCAGCAGCGTCACCCTCTCCCAGTCTCCCTCTGTGCCTCGCAGTCTGATTAGTCATCACGGGGAGACAGACAGGCAGATCGGGTAGAGAGAGACACTGCATTGGCCGGTCAGTGCTAGCCTCACCTAGTCACCTGACCGGCACCGGCTGACCTGTCCAGAATCGGTTTCGTTACTCGCACAAATTAATTATCAATGCAGGGCTGACGGACAGGTCGTCTGGACTCTGAAACAAGGATCAGCACATGTTCGTTAGTTTGACTGGTGTCCTGGGTACGTGAGGGAATATTGTACCGGTATAATAATCCTACAAGTCGTTTTGAAAGGAACAGAGATAACGATCATGGAAGCATCTGGTCCACACCCTGGGGCCTGGCCCATCTTTTTTTCTTAATTCGCATCATCCGTCCCTTTATGAATCTTCCACCTAAGTTCCCAATCATTGGAAATGGATATCGGATATGGCATGCTTCTTTGCTTGGGTCCCCTAGTGCTAGTGGAACGAGGCTCTCCTATCCTCTCCTCCATCAAGTGTTCGCTTGGAATTTGTGGCGGCAGCAGCACCGCAGCAGTCAGCAGAAGAGGTATTGCCTCAATGGCTCTCCTCTTGCCAGATCTCCCTAGGAATATGGGCGAGAGATGGATCATGCCTATGGCAACAACAGAATGACTAGAAAACAACGCAGATATTCCTTCTAAAAAGGAGAAGAAAACCACACAGATATATGTCCCAAGACTTGGCTGTTCGTTGGCTATGGAAGAGGACATGATTTTTTTTCCTCCAGATACGTAGAGCATGCTGTACGTTGTAGTGTAAGTAAGAGCGCATATTGTATATCTAATAAAATTAGCGGTGCACATTATCCCTTGTTGTGCCATCCAAGAGGGTAACAGAAAAGGAGGCAAAAGCCTTTCTTTTTCCTCCGAACAAAATAAAGTGAAAGTTTTTGGATCTAGGGACATTGATGGGCTGACAGGCCCAGCCTGGGTATAGGACATAGCGGGCCAAGGCAACTGGACAGTACAGCCTAGCAGCACTGTGCTTGCCTTTTCCCACACAGGCTACCAGTCCCAAGTACCCAGTACCCACTAATCCTTCCAGCACCAAAGGACAACAACATACATCATGTACATGCATGGATTAATCCACAGCTTACTTTCTCTGGGTTCGTAATAATAATAATAATAATAACCAGAAAATCTACAATCCATAAACGTAATGAAAACCACCAAAAGCAATATGTGCTTTCGACAAGCATGTCACCAAGATCTGTAACACATGCGAATGAAGCAAATATTGCACATCTACATTATCTCAGAACAAACTTGAAGCTAGGTGAATGATCCGTAACTCTCCCAATATGTTTCCAGGGTGACCATTGGGTAAATAGCATGGGTTTGTACTGGCTTAGATCTGTATGTGCATTTCGAGAGCAGTACTATATTCTAAGAGCATAGCTAAGCTCTCAAGACTTCTACTAAGGCAAAGAAAGACACTGGATAGAGAAACCTGGTGAATAGTGAACTGATTGCTCTTTCTTTTCCATTTCTTCTTACTTGATGATTAGCCCAACAAAATGAATCAGAATCTTCAAGACAGTTTAATCTCCATCTCCTCCTTAACAAGCTCAAATATTTCATCAATTCTGATATAATGTAAGAAATCATCATTGTTATCTCAACCAAATTCAAGGTGCAAATTCTATTTGTTAACATATAAAATCCAAAAGTTAAAAGATAACAAAATATGGTTTACATACTCAGCTTGATGTTCATATTAGTATGCCAAGTGGTTAAATAAACCTGTAAAACAGGAAGTTAACAAGATATATAACCTTGTTTGAGAAGCATGACAGCTTTAGCTAGCTAAATTTGATCTAATACAAAGATGATCCTTCTATAAATCATTTGTTTACACATTGACAACTTAGTATTCTATAAGCCTACCAAAAAGAGGATATCAGGAAAGAAACAGTTTGTTATATGACATGCATGTGTCTAGATAAAGTGCAAGATTTCCGAAGGACCATAAGTGAACTTTGCAAACCATAAACAAGAACCTGTAAAACTTCGTGTGAAGGGGTATTGCCAGGCCGCTGACTCCCTAAGATATCTGCACTCCAATTTTCAGGCAGTTGATAGGTATCTCCTGACTGAAGGCCAATACTCTGAAGTTCGTTTCATTCACCATCATATAGCTCATCACCCCAATCTAATGATGTCTGATGTTCTACACCTTCGTTTAAAGTAATCGAGAAAAATCCCAAGAGTAGCAGCCTCTACAGATACAAATGATTTACATTGTCAGGAGACTTCTCCAAAAGAGAAGAAGAACGCACAACCTAAAACACAGATAGACTGAATAAAAAAACTTTTCTGTTATCAGCAAGCATCACCATATAAAGAGGGATGATGTACCTTCAACTTTTGCTCTGAAACAAACATCTCAACAAACTCCTGGGCAAGACTCTCTGAGGTGATTAAAGAAAACATAATATCTTTTTATCATGTGGACTCGAAATATGTAAACATAATCTGCACAGTGATCTCAGATATTGATTGGCATTTCTCAAACGTGAGAATATATATATTTAACGTGACAATATATATATTTAACCAGAAAAGTATAGTACTCTGAGTAGTCTTACTAAATCAAACTCATTTGACCTTTTGAAACTTTTCAAAGGCAATCAGATAGGTTAGGAGATCATTGGCACACCCAACAGACGAAAGATCTTAGTAGTGACTTAATCCAGAGAAGCAAGAGATGAGTAACCCACCAAATTCTAATATGGAGAACCATTTGAATACTGGCGCTCCTCCACCATCCCCTGAATCATTCAAATCATCTTGGCAGTCAGAAAACTGCATGATGGAACAATTTGGAGTCGCTTTGGAAAAACGGCGCATAGAATGGGAAGCTTTAACCAAGTAGGATAGCTGACGGACCTATGAACAGGGTAATGAAGAAAAATATTACTGGAGGAGTTGACATCAAACTACAATGCGCTATGGGACCTGAATTTAAAATAACTGAATCAGCATAGCCTTGCAGTGGTAAACTACCATCTCCTTGTAGGCCTTCAGAAGCATGCCACTGTATTGCTCCTAAACCAAGAAAGCAACAAAATCAAAGGATTAGTAGCATAATGGATAACTAAATCACGCTGTAAAGCAAATCTTACACTGAATTGGTGGCCAAGGTGTTACTACCTCTCTACGTGCCAACTTGGAGTTAGCTTTATCGCGGATCCCCGGCATGTCCTTGAGCACCCCCAAATCCGTCGCCGGCATGTTCCTGACAGCCAACCCCACACAACTCCGTCATCCATGGCCGTAATCTCAAACCCGGAAGTACCCCCAGGCAGAGAGAAAGGAGGCCTACCTGCGGGAGAGGTGGGTGTTGACGAGCGCGGAGGCGTGGGAGCGGCCGTCAGCAACGGCGGCCAGCCACTGGTCCTTGGCGGCCCTCAGATGCGACCACTGGTTGCGCACGTTGCGCTGCGCCACTGGCCTCCACAGCCTCAGCGACGACGAGGGCGACGGCGATGGGGAAGCGGCCGCCGGGTGGGGCGGCCGGGTCGGGGTTGCTGCGGAGGTCTCCATTGATTCGAAGGATTTTGCGTTGCTTTGTCTGTTGGCCTGCCGCCAGGCTCGACCTCGATTCGGCTGAAGCTCGCCAAGGCAGCAAGGCTCGAGCTCGTCTCGAATAGGCTGGCTTCCTGCAATGAAGGAGCAATTAGACTAGAAGCTCTTCTACTGCTGGAATTTGGGAAGCAAAGGATGAAATGAAGGTCGCATTGCTGCTGCTGTTGCCGGCTTACTGCTATGGAAGAGGAAGGCGAACCTGTGTTCTGTGAGCTTTCAGGGCGGAGGGCGAGGTGTGGTGAGGGAGGGGAGAGGCTGGCAGCCGGCGCCCGGCGGCGGGCGGCAGGCGGCGGGCGACGGAGAAGCAGATGGATTGGGGCGGGAGTCGCCTGGTCGCTTTGTGGGCTTTGTGTTCTGCTAGTTGCTTGGGCCCTGGGCCTTCTTCGGGCGCTGGGGCTGGGCAGCGGCCTGCGACCGGCCTAGGCGCAAGCAAGTCGCGGAGCGCAGAGGGAAGGGGCGAGCCGGCGAGGGGCGGAGGAGCGCAGAACGGAGGGGCCGACCGGCGACGGGCGGAGGTGCGTAGCGGCGTGCGGCGCGACTCCAGACGAGCGAAGGGGGCGCGACTCCGACGCGCGAGCGTTTCCCCTGCGGAAACCGTCGCTGCCGACCAGTCGGACGCGATCCTCGCGCCGACCCCCCCAGCGCGCGCGCCTGACTCTCGCGAGCGGCCCAAAGAGCGTGTGGCTCAGGCCGCGGCCCACATACAGCATACGTTCCGCACCGTAATGGCCCCCGTCCGCACCGTTGCCGCCTTCTTCGATCCGCGTCGTAGTTCTGTAGGTCCCTTCGGTAGGTGAGTTTCTCTTTTTATTTCTTTTCTTTTTTCTATTATTTCTTTTCTTTTTTCTTTTTTTTCCTTTCTCTGTGTTGTTTTATCGTTCTTTTTATTTTTTACTTTTCTTTCATTTCCTTTGTGCGTTTTCTCCTTTATTTTTTCTTTCTTTTTTTATTTCTTTATATTTTTCTTTTATGCGTGGCCTTTTGTTCTTCTTTTCATTTTTCTATTTTTTCTTTATTTTATTCATTTTTTGCCGTAATTAATTATTTTTAATTTCACTTTTTCATGTTCTTTATTTTTTTCTATTTACTTCTCTTTTTATGTTTCACTAGTGAAGGCGCGCCTTCATGCGCACCGGTAAGGGAATAAGTTCAGGTTTTTTAATGTATAATTCTCATGCAGTATATGATTTGCTGTCTTCGGGGATGTAATAAGTTGAGACTTGCATGATGCATATATTACATGCGAAAAGTCTGGTAAAGTTCATACACTTTTCACCGACTAACAAATCAGACACTGGCAGGAACCATTTTACATGGTAAGTTTGTGAAAACCGTCCACGTAGAGGTGAGAAAATGATGTCGTGGACATCTTGTTCGGTTGCAGCACCTGGTGAGAGGAAAAAATTTGGTTGAATCAATAGATGATAGATAAACAACAGCATGTGTATAGCAAACGAAGAAGTTCCTAAAATCTGGAACATGCATGGTACAATATATATTGGATCCGCAGGAATTTTTTAATATGTTCATGGAATAAAATGGAGTAACAAAGTCATTAAAATGTGGCTGTCATTAACTGATTTCAGAATTAGTAAATGGTTTTCTTTGAGTACCTTTGGATAAGTAGCTTGTAGACAAATAATTACAAGACTTGTACATGAAAAGTAGGTTTGTCTTTAGTAACACAACTAAGCTTAAAACTGAGCAGGCACCATGTATTTACCTATTTTGGGGTCCCAGCTAGGGAGGCCCTATGAGTAGTTTCTGTCGAAGGATCCTTTGAAGATGTTGCCTTGCCTCTGTAATTTGTATATGAACGGATGATCCTGTGCAATTGTCGAAGCATGTTAGACTTCTGTGGATATAATGTAGCAATCCTAATGTTTTGTGGAAATGATGACTGACCTGAATTTTCGTAGTAACCTGTTTGGTAACCTGTGGAAATGAGTGCATGAATGCACTGAGAGGAAGAAAGCCGTTGAAATGCGACACATAGCAAACTATCAAAGTTACAGATGCGGCACTGAAAGAAAAAACAAAAATGACTAACTGAACCTATAAATTATTACAATGAAAAAATAGCAGGAATTTAGTGAATAAGAGTGGCTTCAGAAAGAAACAAATTGGCATCATATGATCTCTTGTAGTTGGGCACAATGGAATGCACTGAGAAATACCATCCTTTGCAACAATCCAAATTAGGAGCACATACAGCAAAGATGAAAAATTGTAGCCAAGCATTACTCATGCACAGAGCATGGGTCTTCCATAAATTTCGAGAAATATGTATGAAAAGCAAAGGAAGTTGACTGAAACCAAATGTAGCGAACATGTACAACGTGCGCAACTATCTGAACTGGGAATTTTTCCGAAACAAATCATATGGGGAAAGGAACATTATTTGTAGCAAGGACTAAAGTATATCCTTTGGCTGTGAAGGAATACATAGATAAGAAGGTAATTATACATCTGTACACAGGTAATATGGTTGAGCATGGCCCCTTACATTGCTAAATATCTGAATTTAGCAAAGTAACATACAGATGGCATGTATCAGGACATATATCATCTTAACTTAATTCGACATGAACAAATGGACCTGAATAAATTCGAGCTCACAGCCTGTGATGGTACTGCCCATAGCACATAGCAGTAATCAAGAAGAGCTTACAACCAAGAAAATAGCAAAATACCTTAGACATACCTATGAATGTACCGTTGCACCCTTGTTGCTTGTTTTTTTTTTTAATCTGTAAACCATTTAATTTCAGCGAAGGCACAACATCTTATTGAGCAATGCAATAGCATAGGGAACCATTCAGAAGGCATAGGAAAACCTACACCTGTTATTAGCACCATATTGTTTTTTAGTACCATAGGACTTATGGAAGCCTATAAATAATCACATCCAAATGTGATAGAAGCACTAAAATAGAGCAAATTGACACTACTAACTACAAAGGAATCATCAGTTCTATAGGAATCGACCTCAGGGCATCACAGAAATAACCAAGTTGACTTTCGGGAAGGATTGGTATGCACCATTAGTTGAGGCAAACATGCTAAGAAGGGCAAGCAAAATATGACACAGTGCCCAGCCTGAAGAAGCAAAGTCTCTTATATAAAATATTGCCAATGCTCTATATCTTAATTGAAGGAACAGACTGAATATATACACAATAAACAAAAGGGTGTCATTTAAAAATAGTCTTCAATAGGGAACTAAGGACAAATTTGCCTGATACAGAAAGGAATGAAAGGGAAATATTTTCTAGTAACTCTAAAGCAAGTTAGGAAAAGATATGCCAAATGCCGCGGTTCATTTGGATCATCTAGTCCTGCATGTATCTAGATTGACGTTGTGAAATGGATCTCTATGTAGATCAGGTAATTAATAATTTCAAATCTCAGGAAACCAGATAGTAGGATTGAGTATATCAATCCTAAACCATGGGAACAGGAACACTGGATGGAAGAAAAATCTCTGCATACTCAGAGAAAACTAACCATGGGCAACCTACTGGCCTTGTCCTCAATTTAAATTATGAAACATAGGGCTTTTTTCACAGATGCACAGTAGCCTCACAGAGCCAAACTTTTGTTTTAAACTTAAAAAAAGTGTGCGACGTGGAATCTTTTTAGTAATCTGTTGAACAATCTATCAATGGAAGAAACACCTAGTTGATGCTAGCTTTGTAGAAGCAGTATACCCAATTTACTCATCGCTGTACTATTCTTATAAAGTAGAACCACATTATATCTGAACCAACAAAGCTCTATTACAAGGCTGGAAGCTAAGCAAACGAAACCTTATCACAAATTAGGGGTCCTACCATTACCTCCAGTAAAAAAGAAACAAATTACAGCTAGTTTTATCTGTCCTTGAACAGGCTGCGCTTTGTGAGGGAAAACAGCACTACAATAAATCATGAATCGTGAAGCAAACAAAGAAGAGAAGAAAATTGCACTTACAATGCAGCCAGCCCCAAGTTTGCCTGTCCGAACCAAGTGACAAGCTTCAAAAACATGTGTTGACTTCAGTGGGTGTGCAAAATCTCCTTTTTGTTGTCGTCTTCATTACAGGCTTGGACGAGCTCCCTCAGGTGGCCTTAAGTTTTGGACCCACATGATGAAAGAGCAGTACTGAGTTGAGATGAACTGCATACCAAACGTATATTTGCATGTGTCCTATGATCCATTTAGAAAAAAAGCAAAACACAGCAGCGACAAATATGGAACTGGAAAAGTGACCAAAAAAAAGATGCTGCTTTGAGGGGGAGGAAATAATCTTACCGGAAAGGACACTGGGAAGTGAGTTGGAAGGTGAAGGAGAGCCTTGTAGATTAGGTTTCAGTGTACAAACTGCATGGTATGGAGATGGAGGTGAGCTTTTTTCAGCCTGGTTAACAATCTTGCGAAGTCCTTGAACTGTATCCACACCTGTGCCTGTATATATAATTCAGTGTGTCTGTCAGACAGAGGAAATGCTGAAGACCTCCAATACCGATGACTTACAACATAAAAGGCATTTTATTTCTTGCCTTGCCAACTATATATAGCCTCAATGATCTTCTATGGCAATTTCAACTGAAATGCTGCGGCGTGACACTATTTTTTTGAGAAAATAAACTTTTCGGAGGCACAGATGGCGTCACACAAACAACAAACAATGCGACTTAAGTTCTGTGTATGGCCTCTGAGGTAGTGAACATGAGATCAGCTCATCAAATGTGTCAGTGAAAACTTCTTTTACAAAATCGAGGGTGGATTCTTGTATGAATTTGTCTGTCCTCTTTACACAAACCTAATCAGTTCACCAGATGTGTCAAAAGCAAGGTTCCTCCTAAGATTCAACTGGTTTTGATTACATAGTTTTTTTTTTCTTTTCACACAGTGCATACTGGTCATCCAGCGGTTAGGAAGAGCGATTTATGCTTGGATCAGTATACAGTGCACTA